GTCTTCATGGATGAAGAATGCACAGGATTTAGATAGGTGAAGTGGAGAGAGGGAAAGGGAAATTGCAGGCAAGTAAACAAATTGGGAGGCTACTGAAGTAATCAAGGAGTGAATATTAAGGGGTTAGACTGGAAGAGTGGCAGTTAGAATAACAAGGAATGGGTTAATAAATTCAGAGGTCATGGCATAATCCACTGGTACTTCATTTATTTATTCATTCAGTAAACATTTGCTGAGCACCTACTATGTGTTGGACACCACACTAAGCACTGGAGGTAAAGAAGTGATTGCTTACCTTACAGCCACCTACCCTTCCTTCTTTGCTAACAACTTTGTTTTTATTGGCCTTCTTCACGTGGCCTTGTCCTTCACAGGAACCTCCTAAGTTCCTCCCCACCTAAGTAGGCAGATCTTGATAGTGCTCTCATTCCCCTTACCAAATACTCTCTTTAGATGGAGGCATATGATAGGATTCTAGTCAATGAGAGGTGAAGAGTAATCTGCTGGGAACTGTGAAAGCCATAAAGGCAGCGTTGTTCCCATTTGTTTCTGAATGGTGCCACCTGCAGGTGACACCCAGTACTGCAGTAGCTATGAGAGAAATCAGCCCAAAAGGACAAGCCAGTATGCCCAAGATGGCAGAGTAGAAAGGTGTAAGGAACCTGGGTCCTTGGTGGTGTATTTGAACTGCTGCATTAACCAATCCTGGAAGGGCCCCACCTTAGACATTGTGTTATATAGAATAATAAATGTCATCATTTAAGGCTTCCCTTCCCCCCCGCCCCCCACCCTCCTGGTTATTTGCAGGTAAAAGCTTCCTCATTGGAAGCTCCCACTGTAGCGCCAGAAAAGCATGCGGTTAAACTGTCCAGCCAAAAGGATGGATTTGACATCATGGTGTAGGAACTATGCCATCCTCAAGATATTAGTCCAGAGACTTATCTGTATTTATAACACACTGCTAATTACAGAGTGTGGCTATTGGTTAGGCACACAAGACATTGAATGTGTACATATTGTACATAATGTGTACAAAAGCTTCCTCGTGGCCGGGCGCGGTGGCTCACGCCTGTAATCCTAGCACTCTGGGAGGCCGAGGCGGGCGGATTGTTTGAGCTCAGGAGTTCGAAACCAGCCTGAGCAAGAGCGAGACCCCGTCTCTACCAAAAATACAAAGAAATTAATCGGACAACTAAAAATACATAGAAAAAATTAGCCGGGCATGGTGGCACATGCCTGTAGTCCCAGCTACTCGGGAGGCTGAGGCAGAAGGATCGCTTGAGCCCAGGAGTTTGAGGTTGCTGTGAGCTAGGATGACGCCACGGCACTCTAGTCTGGGCAACACAGTGAGACTCTGTCTCAAAAAAAAAAAAAAAAAAAAAAAAAAAGCTTCCTCGTTGCCTGACTAATACAGCCCCTTGGAGACTGACGCATGAACACATAAGTATAATTAAAAGAAACAAGACAACGGGCCCTAGAATCCACGGTCATATGGAGTGTCATGAAAGGGGGATGAGTTCTGCAGGCGGCTGGGAAGCCAGAAAGGCTGTTCAGAGACAGAGTCATTCAAGCTAGGTCTTGAAGGTCCTGTAGACATTTTCTAAGCAGAAAAGAGATGGGCCTTCATTTGGCACAAGTGAAGGTATTGAGTAATAGGCATGAGGGCATGTATGTGGTGTGGTTGAGAAACAAGAAGTGTGATCTGGTCAGAATACACAGCTGAGATGGAGGAAGTGGCAGAATGTGGGACATGAGACCAAAAGAGAAACATTATATGGGATTTGAGCTTCATCTTATGGAAAATAGGAACTAGTAAAGGTTTGTAGGCAAGGAAGTTCAAACTCTAAGTTGCTCTACTTGACAAAAGGTTGTTGCGATGGTTTGGATGAGAAAAAATAAGGGCTACAGATGATGGTGAGGAGAGGATTCAAGGGAACCAGAACCTTGGACCTGACCCCAGACATGTGGGATACCCGTCATGTGAGTGAGGCCATTTTGGAATTTCCAGCCCAGCCCAGCCTCAGCAAAGGGCAGCTGATATCAGGTCAGGGAAGAGCCAAGCCATCCTCTTCAAGTCCTGCCCAAATTCCTTCTTTAAACCATTAAATTCTGGGTGGTTGATCCCTTGGTATTGTGGGGGATTGGTTCCAGGACACCGGCAGATATCAAAATCCATGGATGCCCAAGTCCCTTACACAAATGGTATAGTATTTGCATATAACCTACGCACATCCTCTTGTATGCTTTAAACCACCTCTAGATACTTATAATACTTGATACGATGTAAATGCTAATGTAAATAGTTGTTATACTGTATTATTGTTTAGGAAATAATGAAAAAAATCTGTACATGTTCAGTAAAGATGCAATTAAAAAATACTTCTGATCCATGGTTTGCTGAATCCATGGATGTGGAATCCATGGAGGGCTGACAGGACTTCAGAAAATGAAAAAAAAAAGTCTAATCATCTGTTGGGCAGGCAGTGGGCTGGAATTGCGAGATCTGGCCTCTGCAGAAGTTTTTATTTTTTTTTTTATAGACAGGGTTTGCTCTGTTGTGGAGTCTAGCGTGCAGGCCACAAGCATAGCTCACTGCAGTCTTGTACTCCTGGGCTCAAGCAATCTTCTTGCCTCAGCCTCCCAAGTAGCTGGGACTATAGGTGTATGCTACCACGCCCGGCTACTTTTTAAATTTTTTGTCACAGCAGGGCCTTGCTATGTTGCTCAGATTGGCCTCGAACCCCTGGGCTCAAGTGATCCTCCCTCCTTAGTCTCCCAAAGTGTTGGGATTACAGGCCTGAGACACAGCAGTGCCTGGCCTCTGCTGAAGCTTTATATTTGCATTTTTTGTTGCTGACAACACGTGGAGAATCCAACTCATCTGTTTCCTGAGATAGCTGCAGATGTGCTGCTTTGACCCTTTCCAAGCCACTCAGGAATTGTGGGTTCAATTCAGAGACTTGTGTTTCCACACTATTCACAGGCTACAGGTCCCTCCTTAGTGTGAGCAGGAAAACATTTTCCTAGCTTGGGGGAGGGTTCAGATCCTTCTTTTGTTGTCAGCTCTGATGCCAAGCTAATTATTTTTAATGACTTTTGGTACCATGGCAAACACAATTTGTACTTCAGATCCACAAACACGAACACAGTATACCTATGTTCTTTGTGAACCAAGGGCTTAAAACCCGTAAGGTGTGGTCGGGCGCAGTGGCTCAAGCCTACAGTCCTAGCACTCCAGGAGGCAGAGGCGGGTAGATTGTTTGAGCTCAGGAGTTGGAGACCAACCTGAGCAAGAGACCCCCATCTCTACTAAAACTAGAAAAATTAGCTGGGTGTGGTAGAGTGTGCCTGCAGTCTCATCTACTAAGGAGGCTGAGGCAGGAGGATCGCTTGAGCCCAGAAGTTTGAGGCTGCAGTGAGCTACGATGATGCCACTGCTCTCAGCCACTGCTCTCAACCCAGGGTGAGGGAGTGAGACTCCGTCTCGGAAAAAAAAAAAAAAAGTAAAGAAATTGAACCTCTCTCCTCACGCGCCCCCTTTCATAGAAAAAAATTAAAAAAATCCATAAGCTATATTCTCAGTTTTCTAATACATACAGTAACAAAAATGGACAGAAGGTTACAAAGTAACCTCTATCATTCACAGAGAAAGGGCTGCTAGACCTGTGAATATTAGCACAGGAAAGAACAGCACAGCACACTTTATTGGTAAATGTAACAGCTGTCCCTAAATATGGTCAGTGCTCTCTCTGGGAAAACCCATGATAAGGATTATTGCCAGGCCTGTGGCTGTCCTTAGAAAGGCTTTGAGTTTGAGCCAAATGACATCTAACCTGCCTCTTCTGTGTGCTCCTACCTCCCACTATTTTTATATTAATACATATATTTCACTTTAATCTTGGACGTGACATAACATTTATTTCTTAAACTTTATTTAAATTTTTATTTTTTACTCCCATGTGACTGTCAGGGAATAAGGTGGTGGTGGCTAAGAGCTGACTCTACAATAGCCTTTGATTTTTTTTTTCAGCTCTAGCATATCACCTATTTCCTTTCCACAGTATTCAACTCCTACAGGGTGAATCAAGAGTCTAAAGCAAAAACTTGGGTTTACCAGAATTCCTACTGCGGGATTTAAAGAGAATATTCAGAGAAATTAATCTGCAGAAACTACGAGGTTGTGATTTTTTTGTTTCCATCCCCATATACGATTGTTGCTGCATTGCTGGCCCTAAAGAGTGTTGTCTCCATCTTTGACTCTCTGTAGGTCAAAAATAATAAAACAGGCCTTGGAAGTGAGTGATTTTCACAGTCCTCACTCTTACTCCTTCCACTGGGTATGGTTCCTTAATCTGACATAGTTCTAAGGTGGCTCCCGGGAGTACAATATTCGTAATTGGGATATGCAAGCTCTTGGGGAGGCCTGGTATTCCCTGGAGTCAAGTGGGACTTTGCAAATGCTCTAGAGTGAGTGCGCATCTGCCCTAGAGTCTCGTTAACACCTGGTGCTCTTTAGTTTCACAGTGAAGCCCTAGTTTGGGCTCGAAGCAAACCAGGCTCCAGGCAAGCTGCAGCTGGCAGATGCCCCCTTTTAGATTTCCCAGCAGTCTGACTTTGCTTGGCTAACCAATGGGGAAAGATGTTCATAAAGCATTTGAGCTAAAGTGGGCAACTGGGTATGTAATGTATAAGCTAAAAACAAATTATCTAACCAGACGTAATGTTCTGTTTTTAGTTGCCTAAGTATGTTCATACTCCAAATTATCTATAACTGATAATGCCTTTATGAGAGAAGAAGAAAAACATGAATCGTACCCCCTAGAAATCACTCCCACAGAGAAAGGAACGCGTTGAGGACATTTGTAAAATGAGAGGATTTATTGTCTTCCATCTCCGTCAGTCTGAAATTGATTTAAATCTTCAAGACAGGTTATTAAGTCTTCAAAACTGACACTCATTTAAAAGGTGATTTAATTAAAAAAAAAACCAAAGCAGGCCTATATTTGTAAACATTTATTCTCTTGAACTGAAAAAGGCTTGCATCAGCACACATTGTACAGCCTTGCAAATTACACAGAGATTGAAAAGAAGGTTCCTTGTTCATAAGTGCAATGAATCTTTGATGTCCAGTGATCCGCTGCAAATAATGAAAACAAATTGTAAACCACTTAAGAAGTTTCCAGCATTCATCAAATACATTTCCTTAGCTGACAAAAAATTCACAAGGAGGAGAATGCAAATAAGTGGCATTTAGTTATTGGAGGGACACATAAAAAAAAAAAAGGTGGAAGTATTTTCCTGTCTAGAATGATTCCTTTTCCCCTTTGAATCTAAGTGGTTTGATAAAGAGGCATTAACAACATAATTTACTTTATACTTAATGTTCATACTGCCAAAATGTGTAAGGAAAGAACCCTATGGGGGAGGAGTTCTGTAGTTTCTGGAAATTATTTCTGTGTTTAGAGATTCAAGAGAAGAATAATCTTCTATTTGTGGACTCTCCTTAGCACCTCTAACTCCCAAAAGAAGACAGAACATGGTTTTGACTTAGTTATTCCACTCCTGCATTCTTTTTCCCCCAAATTCTAAGTTGGGTCACATTGTGCTAGCTGCAAAAAGAAATACAGGTTACAACTGGTTATAATCATTTTGAAGGATAATTTGCTGTACAATAGAGCTTTGGATCTGATACAAGAATTCAGAAATATAAAACAAAATAACTACAAAAGTTAGGAGGCATTTGAACAGCATTTCCTTAGAAAAACCTGCTAACTGTATCATTCCCATGTGAATCCTATAGTCATGTGGGGTGAAATGTGTATCTTCCCCATGCCCGCCGCCCCTTTGCTGGATCACTGGCATTTCTTCACAAGCTATAACGCCATGACCACACATCCTAGGAGTCTCTATAATGTTAACAGAAGCTCCAAATATCAAGCCAATCATGGGAGAGGGCAGGGGAATCATAGAAGTGAAGGGTCCAAAGGTGGCTCTGTTACTGAGAACTTGCCCTTTCCAAAATGTGAAAGTCATAGTGCTTCTTGCTTGTTCTCAGCTTAAACTTGTTAACTGAATTAATTTGCTTCTTCAGTGCATTCTGAGCAGCTGAAATGGAGGGGAATGTGGCTAAGACGGTGTATGTGGAGGCCAAGTCACTGGGTTTAGAGCGTTCAGGGTTGACAGTGTTGTCCCCGCTGCCACAGCAGAGGGGGTGACGACGCAGCTGGGGCTGGGACTGGGGGTCCCGGAGCCACCGGATCTTGGCGCCAATTTTAAAGAGTTCCCCAAAAAGCTTCTCAGCTTCCATGCGAGTTATTCCATCTGGTAGTTCAGTTATTTCCAAGACCTTCCCAACAACTAAAATGAAAAAGGTATAGAATTAATATATCCCTGTTACCAAAAAAGTTGGGTAAAAAAGTACTGCAAATACCAAATAAGACATAATAAACAAACAGATTTTTTGAAACCATTCAGATCCACAAAATTATAATTGTTAGAGCCATCTTTTAAATACTTCCTACCTCTGCCCTCCACTTAGGCAAGGGGTATAGAGCTCATGTTGTTAAGCCACTGACTTCAGTCTTTGCTGAGAGTTGCACATAAAAAATGCAGCACCATGCAGTGGCTTCTCTAAATTAGGAGTGAGATCTTGGGCAAACACTTTCTGAACTTCACATTCCCATTGTACAATAAAATAACAGCACTTGCTCTAACCACCCTCAGGCTGCTGAGTAGAAAGTTAAAATTTGTGCGTTCACACTCTCCCCACATAGTTGTAAGGACAATTCCTTCCTCAGTGAATACAGAGGCTAGAGTTTCACTCTCCCTGCTCCTCTCACATGCTTTTCTCCCTTTGGCCCCTTCGTCCCTCCTAACCCCACCTGCACCTGACCGTACATACTCTCACATCTGAAGTGAGACACCGATAAGAATGCATCCAAGAACCCTAAAGTAGAGATGACAAAATTTCCTATTACTTGAGGAAAACCCATTTCTGTGCTGTGGTTTATTTCTAAAGACTGTCACCAGTTTGTAGATCCACATCCAGTTGCCCCTCAGGGACACACCTGCTTCTCCTGCTCCAAGGTCCGTGGATGCAGCTTTTTTAGCTTGTCTTCTTCCTCGGTTTCCATGCCGGCTGCCAGGCTGACTCTGAACACCCACGAATAGTTCAGAAATAAGGTTAATAGTGCTGAAAAATGTGTCTGTAACGTTTAAAAATTTAACACCTAACCACACTTAATCTGGGTTCTTCACTTTGGCAGAAATAACCAGCCCCAGGCCTTCTGAATTCTGCCTCTGCAGCAGGGCATTCTGCCCCTGACGATGACCAATTACTCGCTGACTATCCTTCATTAGCAAGGGTGAGCCAAATCCCAGACACCACCCATCTTTGGGTGGCACTAGTGAATTACTGCTTCGCCAAGCAGAGCACTACCTTCTGCTCTGGACTGTTCCCAATGGAGCTAGTGGTAACTGAATAAACCAGCTGGCTGACGCATAGAGCTCTCTTTGGGTAGCACCGACAGGTGGGCTCAGAGGTGCCCCCTACACTCTCAGCAACAGAAGTACGATGTTCTGCAACAAAGCCTAGGAGGTCAGACAGCGGCCTTTCATACCTGTTGGTTTGGAATGTGTCCGTGCAGAACAGCAGGAGAGTTGTACTGCAGTGGTTGCCCAAGTAATGGATACCTGGCATCTCCTGAAAGTCAACAAAAAACATTTTTACATCTTTCTCTCCTCAGTTAAAAAGTACTTGCCAGAGTTTTTCTAAATTGTTCAGAATAATTAAGATGAACAGGGGAAACACGTTTGACAGAATAAAACAAGTAACTGACATATTTTAAAAAACAATTAAAAATTTCACATATTCTTTAAAGGGCTGGGGCAAACTTCTGAAAAGATTAATGACTGGTAACAGTGGATATGAAGGAGGGTGAGTGGTAGGAACTAGGTGGACAGGGGATAGGATGGAGAGAAACTTCTCTGTATACTTTAAAACTATTTGTTAATTTTTGAATCATGTCACTATATTATGTATTAAAAAAAGTAAATAAATTTTAAAAAGTGGATGAAAATAAATTTTAAAAAATTGAAGATATGGAAGAGAAAGAATCTAAGAAAACTATGACGCTAAATCCTAACATTCTATATGAAATCCACCAAAAAAACTATAACACTCATTCTAACCACTTTTGATGCTAAAATCTGCATCTTTCTATGATGATTATTAATAAAAACTTACATTTCAGAGAAAGGATGAAACTCTGGGTAAATATTAAGCTCTATATTTTCCCAAATTCACTATTAGTTGCTATAAACATATGCATGTAATATATGCACGTATACATTTAATATACTCACATACATTTTTATAGTTTTTTTTTTTTTTTTGAGACAGAGTCTCACTGTGTTGCCCTGCCTAGAGTGAGTGCCATGGCGTTAGCCTAGCTCACAGCAGCCTCAAACTCCTGGGCTCAAGCGATCCTACTGCCTCAGCCTCCCGAGTAGCTGGAACTACAGGGATGCGCCACCATGTTGAGCTAATTTTTTCTATATATTTTTAGTTGTCCAGATAATTTCTATTTTTTTTTTAGTAGAGACGGGGCCTCACTCTTGCTCAGGCTGGTCTCGAACTCCTGAACTCAAACAATCCGCCCGCCTCGGCCTCCCAGAGTGCTAGGATTACAGGTGTGAGCCACCGTGCCCGGCCCATTTTTATAGTTTTAACCAATGGGTATATATGTATGTTCTAGGTCCCAAGTCTGCTCTTAATCTCTCTTTAAATGACAATCTGTATTTGTAATTTGAACTTGCTTAGAAAGAGTGGTACAGCTTCTAGTGTCATTCATGAGTAAGTATCCCCTATCTAAATCAGCAAGTGTAGGGTAGTCAGAATAAAGATCTTGCAATTGTTTTCTTTCACTCAGTAGAGCCTGAAGTCATCACAGAGTAAGGGGCTTAATAAATGCTGACTGCAAAAATTTTGTCTCAAAGAATAACGTTTTCAGTTGTGTTACATTCTCATTTTATTTTAACCGTAAGCCCCCAGATTTAGCACATTCTGTGTTTGGAGTAGGGTTATCAGTAGGTAGACTAATAGAAGACTGGGGCATCTTCAGGAAATCTTATACCCCTTCTGCCAAGAGCTTCATAACAGAGAGAAGCAAGGCACGGAATTCCTGCCATTCCACAAGACTCCTTTCTGATGATCACTGTGAAGATGCTGGGGCAGCTCCCTGGCAAGACACATCCACGACACACTCACAACTTCCTAAGCTGAAGAGCAGACATGACATGGGGACTCAGTACTGAGACTGGGGATGCATTGTAAAGTGTGAAGATGCATAAAAAATAGTTGTAAAGCAGTCAGAGTTAAGTGTAAAAATAATGAAATGTAAAGAAAATAATTAAGCCTCAAAACCTTAGATGAGCAGAATACAGAGACTGCTGCTTAAAAATCCTGGAAACCCAGGACTTAGTCATATGTAATGTTATTTTTTCAAATATGGAGATGACACTGTAGTCAGCAGTAACCAAAGACCCCTCCTTACAGGCCAGGCTAGGTGTTCCTCTTGGGGCATTCATCTCAGACTGCATGCCACATACTGTTTCAATTTATTTTTTATAATATGCTTTATTTTTCTAGATTATTAAGGTTACTGGCTTTGTAGAAAATTTGAAAATAGAGAATTACAAAGGAGGAAATAGAAACCACCGTGGTCATTCCATCATTTCTAACATTTTGGTACATATCTTTGTTCTATATATGTGTGTGCTCATACTTGCGTATGTGTATAATTCTTTTAAAAAATTGAGATATAGTTAACATACAATATAAAAACCATCTCCATCCTTGGAAGACTTCCCTTCAGCCCCTTTCCACAACTCACTATCAGTTCCCCACCACTAGCTGATTTCTAACTTCACAGATTAGCTTGTCTATAGCTGGATTTCATATAATTAGAACCATATAGTATATATTATTCGTTTTTTGGTCTGTTTTTTGCTTAACATAATGACTCTGAGATTTATCCATGTTGTGTGTTAGTAGTTTGCTTTGCTCACGTTTATCGCTGAGTAGTATTCCACTGTAAGGACATGTCACAATTCGTTTATTCAGTGTTCTGCTGATGGACATATGGGCCATGTCCAGCTTGGGTTATTATTTTTTTTTCTTTTGAGACAGGGTCTCGCTCCGTTGCCCAGGCTAGAGTGCAGTGATGTCATCATAGCTCACTGCAACCTCAAACTCCTAGGCTCAAGTGATCCTCCTGCCTCAGCCTCCTGAGTAGCCGGGACTACAGGTACATGCCACCATGCCCAGCTAATTTTTCTATTTTTTGTAGAGACGAGGCCTTGCTATGTTTCCCAAGCTGGTCTCATACTCCTGGCCTCAAGAGATCCTTCTGTCTTGGCCTCCCAAAGTGTTGGGGTTACACGTGTGAGCCACTGCGCCTGGCCAGTTTAGACTATTATGACATAAAGTTGTAAGTGTTCTTGTACAAGTGTGAACATGTTTTCATTTCTCTTTCCAACACTGGAGTAGAATAGCTAGTTTGTATGGTAAGTGATTAACTTGGTAAGAAACTGTCAAACCTTTTCCCAAAATGGTTTTATCATTTATACGCCCACCAACGATGTGCGAAAATTTTAGTTTCTTTGTATCTTTACCAACATTCAGTGTTGTCGGTCTTTCTGATTATAGCCATTCTAGTGGTGCTAAGCGGTATCTCGTTCTGGCTTTATTATTCATTTGCCTAATGACTAATAATGTTGAGTACCTTTTCAAGGGCTTATTGGACATCTATATATCTTCTTTGTTGAAATGTCTGTGTAACTTGTTTTTCAAAATCACTCATCACATTGTGAATATTTACTCTTTTTATGATTCTTTAAAACATGATTTTTAGACAGCTACACAGTATTTCTTGTATAGATATACCATAATTTAACTATTCCTCACTGATGAACATTTAGGCTGGTTTTGAATTTTTTTGCTATAGGATAAACTATCCTGTGCATAAATCTTTGTGTGCATCATCCTTAGGATAAATTCCAGAAATAAGATGAACGGTTTCCATATTAGTTTTACAATCATCTGCTTGCAGCCTGTTCCTCTGAGTAGACTGAGAGCTGGTGAGGATCAGGACTTCTCCTTATTCATCTTTGTATACCAGGGGCCCAGTAGGTCCTTAATAAATGTTTTTGAATAAACTTTATATTTGATATATATTACTCTAATATAGGAATTAAAAATATAGAACACTGTATTACTACTATGGAGGAATGGATTCTAAGAATAAGTTAAAACCATTTTAATTCTATCATGTAATTATTGAGTATAAGTAATTAATGAATTAATAATCAATTAGCAATGAAACATTAAGGTTAGGAAAGTATATGGTAACAAATAGATATGCCTGAGTGGAGGGGAAAATGCAGCTCTGTGGAAAATTGAAAGGCAGTATTATTGTACACACACACACACACACACACACACACACACACACACACATTTTTGAGACAGAGTTTGTTCTGTTGCCCAGGCTAGAGTGCTGTGGCATTAGCCTAGCTCACAGCAACCTCAAATTCGTGTGCTCAAACAATTTTTCTGTGTCAGCCTCCCTAGCAGCTGGGACTAGAGGCACACACCACCATGCTCTGCTACTTTTTTTTCTATTTTTAGCAGAGATGGGGTCTCGCTCTTGCTCAGGCTGGTCTCAAACTCCTGACCTCAAACGATCCTCCTGCCTAGGCCTCTCAGAGTGCTAGGATTACAGGTGTGAGAACTGTGCCCAGCCGAAAGGTAGTATTATTAATACCAAGATAGATTACCAAGTGACTGGGAATGGATGTCTTAAATTCTCCAGAGCTGTGACTAGTTTCATGTACACTTACCTTGCCCAGGGACAAAAGGTCTAGAAAATTGGGGCATGATGGAAAGTGGTGGTCCAGAGGGACGTCCAGTTTTCAGGGTAGACAGCTGAACTGGTGCTGGCGACTGAGCTGGTGAGATAATGGGGCTACTGAGTTGAGGGCTGTGCTGCAATTACAATACATCAAGAAAATGGGTCAGCATTTTGGGCAGGCTTTTTGCAAATTTCCTTTTGGACAAAAATTTTTATTCTTCCTGATTACAAATATATACTTGTTAGAAAAAAATTCAAACGTTACAGAAATATATAATCTCCAATTCCCAAAGATAAACATTGGTAACAGATTGTTTCTATGCATATGCATTCACACATCCATTTTTTATAAAAATGGGAACAGACCATACATCCTATTTTTGAAACTTGCTTTTGTAAGGTGGCAATAATCGTGTTGATAACTTTTGTGTGACAGAATATATACATCTATTTCATTCTTTTTTTAATATTAAATGTTTAACATTTCATTTTTAAATAATTTCATCCTTAGGGAATAGTTACAAAGATAGTACAAAGAATTTCCAGATTTCCGAAGTGATGTTAACATTTTATTGTATTTATCCCCCCCCATATATATATTATTGCCCTTTTCTGAACTGTTTGAAAGTGAGTTGCACATGATACTCCTTTACCCCTAAATAATTAGTGTCTACTTGCTAAAAACAAGGACATTTTCTTACATAACCACAGCAGAATAATCAAAACCAGAAATTAAAAAAACTATTATCTAATCTACAGAGTTTATTCCAATTTGCCAAGTGTCCCACTAATGTCTGTTATAGGAAAAGAGAAGAAAAATTTTCCCCTTCAGGAATCCAGACTAGAACCAAGAACTACATTTAGTTGTCATGGCTCTTCAATCTGGAACAGAACGAACCTCAGTCTTCCTTCTCTTTTATGACTTTGACATTTTTGAAGTTCTGTTTCTAAAGATCATTTTGAAGATCAGTTATTTTTTAGAATGTCCCTCAATTTGGGTTTGTCTGTTGTCTCCTCATCAAAAAGTTGATGAGGAACCTGATGTCGGTCTGTTGTCACATTACTAGTGATGTTTACTTTGCTCACTTGGTTAAGGTGGTGCCTGCCAGGTTTCTTCATTGCATGTTACCATTTTTTCCTCTGTAGTTGTAAGTATCTTGTGGGGAGATACTTTATAAAAATATTCTGCTTCTCATAAAAATTTTACCCACTAGTTTTAGCATCTAGTAATGACTCTTGCCTAGTGGTTTCCTGGTGGTGATTTTCTACTTCTATGATTCCTTCTATAGGTATTATTTCAGATTCTACTGTAAGAAAGAGTTTGACTCTCTCCTGTATTTATTCATTTGCATCACTATGGACTCATGGATTCCTATTTTATTCTATGGGTGGTCATTCATATGTTAATCATTCTTTTATGCCAAACTTTTAAGCCTGATCTTGTATCCTTTGACATATCCTTATCATTCTTCCAGCCCTTCCTTACTTTCTTAGCAAGATGGTCTAGGCTCATCTTGTGCCTTCCCTGAACAATCCTGATAATAGTTATTTCTCTAAGAAGCCCTGGTTCCTTTTAGTGGAGAATGGTATTTAGGAACTACCATCTGGGTAGCAGGTGTATCTCGTTCTTTTCAGTATTATACACTTAAGGGTATTTTCCTAAATGACACAGTAATTTATTTAATCAGTTACCCGTTGATAAATGTCAAGGCTGTTTATAATTTTTCAATGTTATAACAGGCAAGAAAGAAATACCACTATACACACATTTTTATATGCTTGTTCCACAATTTTTTTTTATTTTATAGAAACAGGGTCTCACTCTGTTGCCCAGGTTGGAGCGCGGTGGCACAATTATAGCTCCCTGCAGCCTTGAACTCCTGGGCTCAAGGGATCCTCATGCCTCAGCCTCCCAAGCAGCTGGGACTACAGGCACATGCCACCACGCCTGGCTAATTAAAAAAAATTTCTGTTTTGTAGAGATTAAGTCTTGCTATGTTGCCCAGGCTGGTCTAGAACTCCTGACCTCAAGCAATCCTCCTGCCTCAGCCACCCAAAGTGTTGGGATTACAGGCATAAGCTACCACACCCAGCCTAGTTCCACAATTTTTACTGGATAAAGTTCCAGAAGTGGATTTGTGGATGAAAGGCTTTGTACCTTCTATATTTTGAAAAATGTCACCAAATCACATTCCAAAAAGAGTTGTACTGATTTACAGTACCACCAAGAGAGTATTAGAAAGCTTGTAACTAGATATAATAATTTGCAAACACTGCAAATTATTGATTTTACTGAATTTTCCCAATTATACAGGATAAAAAGTAATTTTATATTTTCATCTGTTTAATGGCCATTGTCCACTTATATTTTGGAGCTGATCTATAAATGGCCTTTGCCCTTTTAATTCCACTATGATTTTGTCATGTGTATTGGAAATATATTTTCTCTAATTTATCTTTAAAAAAAATTTAAAAACCTTTTAATTCTGTAAAATTTGAAGTATATAAAAATGTAGATAAAAAAGCATAATGAACTTCCATGTACTCTTCATCCAGTTTCAACTGTGATCACCCCTCCTTATTTTTCCTAAAGTACTTCAACCAAATCTCAGATATTACAGCACTTTACTTGTAAAATATTTCAATATATAAATATTTCTATCTATTTTAAACATAACCACAATACTATTAACATACTAACAAGAGTAACATATTTAAATATCCTTTTTGCTCAAAAATCTTCAGTATCCAAACAAAATCCATATATTGTATCTGATTATTATACCTCTTGAGTCTCTTTTAACCTAAAACAGACCTAGCTCCCATTTCAAAATGCCATTTATTTGTAAAAGAAACAGGGTCAATTTGTCCAGTAAAATATCCCACTGGTACCATGTAATTTGTTTGTTTTCTTCCTATATTTACTGTAAATGAGTAGCTAGATTTAGAGACTTGATTAGATTCAGATTCAATTTTTCTGATAAGAGTATATGCTAGGTAATGCTGTGTACTTTCTTCTATACCACATAAAGAGCCAAATAATGTCTGACTGGCCCACTTTTAGAGATGCTACAGTTTATCAGTGGGTTCAGGGCTGTCTGCCCTCCATTTCAAAGCTCCCTCCTGTATATTTTTTACCTAACATTTTAGCATCTCCTGATGATTTTTTCTTGATGCATTATTTTAATAGGGTTCCAGAATGATGATTTTCTAATTGTATCATTGCATCTGCATTTATTAACTGGAATATGAATGAGAAATGTTCCCTCATCAACTATTTGGTTACACTGAAGTACAGTTCATATGGGAAAGGCAGGATAAATGCTTGAGTCTTTTTCTTTACCAAATTTTAGTTGTAGTTTATCTTTTGATTTTTATCTTCTGATGTTAAAAGAATTTTGAATATGCAGAAGTTGGCAAATAATATTTAAATAGTGAAATATATTGTCTGAATATAAAGAATGTTCAAACTTTAAGAAAAATTCTTTTTATTTCAAAATATTAAAGGGGTACAAATGTTTTTGTTACATAGATAGCTTTTATAATGCTTCAGTCAGGGCCGTAAGTGTGCCCATCACCTGAATGGTGTTCATTGTACCTGTTCAGTAGGTTTTTACCCCTCCCCGCTGTTCTTGATTTCCAATGATTTTTACTTTTTTCTGGCCCCATGTCAAACTTCTTTATTAATCTGCTTGAGAGGATTTCAAATTCAGTGTCAAGCCTTGTAGGTCAGTCTTAATATATGTCAAAAATGTTAAGTTTCAAAATGATAATGACCAAAAGCATCTTACCTGGACAATATTGTCTACACTGCTAAATTCCACACACTTCTGTCCTCTCTGGTGATCACAGTAATATTTGTTTTGTTTCCACTGGGGAGGTGAGTGAGCACGAGATTGTGGATTGTTTGGTACATTGAGCTGCATCATCACCATTCCTCCACCAGGTGGCGGTGGTGGCACAGCTGAAAATCAGTACCGTAAAATCAGTATATTTCACCAACTAAATGGTATCTCTGAACATTAGGATAACAGCAATAATTTTACATTTCTGAACAAACTTTTAGATATGCAAACCTGATTTAAGCCCTAATGCATCATGCTACAAGTTCTGTGTGTTTATAAAGGCATTAAAACAAACCTTAAGGTCTTAAACGTCTCACTTATCCTAAAATAAGTTGGATCACTCAGGAAGAGCTGGAAGGGTAATGAGAGGAGGGCCTAGGAAAGGAGGATATCAATACTTATGAGAAAGGAGAATACAGAGAGCAGTAGTAGAAAAGGAAGAAGTGGACCACACGTGTGAGTCTGATTCAGCATGGCACCTTAAATATATCTCACACATCCTGAGTTGAGAATCTTTTTGTAGAAATGCCTAAGGAAATTCACTGAACTATCTATCACATGGACAAACCATTACTTTTTTTTCAGTAATTGATTCATACTTGCACACTGGTGGCCTTGAAGCTGCTGGGAATTGCATGGTGAAGTAGTCCGAGGAAACTGTACTTGTTCTGATCCTGGATGCTGCAAGTAACTGACTGGAGAGCTATGTGGGGAAAAATCAAATAAACACAAAAACACAGCACAGTGAGATGGGGATGACTGTAAAGATTCTCTGAATGAACAGTTCTGCAAATTTATTTAAATAAAATTATTTTTCAAATTGGTTAGCAGTAAAAGTCAAATTTAACTCTTATCTGTGAATTATAATTACTTTATTGCATAAAAATCATTTTATGTTTATGGTAATAACACTGATTTTTAAAGACCAGAAAAAAAAAATTCCTAATTCCATTACTCTTATGAATTTCAACTTATTCTAAATGTCTTTTATATTGTTTAAATAACAATGATAATATTTTTTGAGATAGGGCTACATTTTAGAAAAGAGAATACGCAGCTGGTCCGATGGTAGCGGGTTATCAGAACTTATTAACATCAGTTTCACTGAAGTTGGTGTATAGCCCCCCCACTGCTATTTGACTAGCTTAAAAAAAGAGAGAGGCGGGAGTGGGGGCGAGGGCAACATACATAACCTAAACATCTGTACCCCCATAATATGCTGAAATAAAAAAAAGAGAATATGCAGTTTGATAATGATGAGACCCAGAAAAAAACTTTTCTATCTTAGAAAATATATTAAGAATAGAGGAAATAACAGAACATATTTTGACATATTCGGACAAAAATAAAAGGCTGTTTAGTAAAGTTATTGCTGTCTTTTTGAACAATCTTTGAGACACAAATTAACATAAGGGTTGTCATACTATGTCTCTGAAGTTTTCTGTTTAACAAATTCTTTCAGAATAATACTTTAAAATCGTAGAATACTGTTTATTCTTTCTGAGAATTCTCAAGTAATCAAGAACCTTAATTTATATCTAAAACCCTATTAATTATCAGTCTTTTATCATCATTAAAAATAAACTCCCTTTATAAAGCAGTATTTCTTAACTTAGCTTAAACAATTTTTTGCATCTATGTAGTTGCATTAAAAATACAACTTTACATACAACTACTGAATTACGGAGAATACAGAGCATGGTGAAATAACAGCATGGTGAAGCAATCAGTAAAATCCAGACTATGGGAAACTCTGTAAGACAAATGTGTAAAACTTAAGCAATATTTGCAAGGTAGATGGAAATACAAATATCAACTGGATAAGGAATTAATTGTTAATTTTTTAAAGATATGAAATGGTATTGTGGTTACATGGGCTTTTAAAAGACCTTTAGGGATACCTATACTGAAATACTCATGAATATGAAATACTATTAATATGATACCTGGGATTTACTTCAAAATAATATGGAAAGGGAAAAGGCTGAGATTTAGATGAAAACAGATTATCATTAGTTGATAATTACTGAAATGATGGGCACATGGAGATTCAGTACCCTTTTGTTTATATTTATATATGTTTAAAACTTTTCATAATAAAAAGTTAACAAAAGATTCTGTAATTTTTTTTTTTTTTTTTTTTTTGAGACAGAGTCTCACTGTGTTGCCCGGGCTAGAGTGCCATGGCGTCAGCCTAGCTCACAGCAACCTCAAACTCCTGGGCTCAAGCAATCCTGCCTCAGCCTCCCAAGTAGCTGGGACTACAAGCATGCGCCACCATGCCCGGCTGATTTTTTCTATATATTTTTAGTTGTCCAATTAATTTCTTTCTATTTTTAGTAGAGACGGGTCTCGCTTTTGCTCAGGCTGGTTTCGAACTCCTGAGCTCAAACGATCTGCCCGCCTCAGCCTCCCAGAGTGCTAGGATTACAGGCGTGAGCCACCGCGCCCGGCCAAGATTCTGTACTTTAGGCTGACAATTCCCCAGTTAATAAGAATTAGTAAAGTTTTGCTGTTTTTGTTTTTTTTTTTAGTGGCAGTAACTCAGTGCAGTTCAATAAAAAGGAGAAAGAATGTGATTTAATGGGAGGATTTCACAAAAAGTGATTTTGGATCATATGTGAAAATAGTACTTTTTGAAATTGATGTTAGTTATGATTGGAATGTGTTAATGTGAGTATTAGTTACCTATAGAAATAATACAACTTAAGAGATAGTCTGTAAATGTGTCCATACTGAGGAAAACAGAAAGTCCACATGGGGGTAAGGTTTTTTTAGGCTCTGTTCTAACCTACGTACACAGTTCCATTGGGCCACGTGGTACCTCTCACCCTGACCTTGCTCACTAAGTACATTCTAATGACTTACCTAAGTTCTGAGGGGCATGGGTGATAGGAAGTTGCCCGGCAAAAGGAAGAGAATATTCAGGTCACTGAAATAAGGATATATCCCATAATATTAAAACTACAAATTGCTATTCCATTTTACCACTGTAGTGGGTTTTAGTTTATAGTTAGTATAAAACAATTTTCTAGCACTAGATTACCCCTCACGTCAGGGGCGGGGAACCTGCGGCCTTAAGGTCACACGTGGCCTTTTATGAAAAGGATTTGTTCCCTAAAATTTGGATTCAGTTAAAAGGCTTCAGTTAAGGATCTAGAAGGCCACATGTGGCCTTAAGGCTGCAGGTTCCCCACCCCTGCCTTAGGTAAATGAATAAAAACCAAGTTTCGGAATTATAAAATTCTTAGGCTGGCCTCAAACTTCTAGCCTCAAGCAATCCTCCCGCCTTGGCCTCCCAAAATGCTAGGATTATAGGTGTGAGCCACCATGCCTAGCCCTCTCCAGTTATTTCTTTCTTCATTCTTATTGTTTAGGAATGATAAAAAAAAAAAAAGACAAATGTATTATATATTTTTATAATCAGAAGGCTATTGTAGTCTACCAAAGTATGAAAAAAATTTACATCATATGGACTCTTTTTTTTTTTTTAATTTCAGCATATTACAGGGGTACAAATGTTTAGGTTACATATATTGCCTTTGCCTCACCTGAGTCAGAGCTTCAAGTGTGTCGATCCCCCAGATGGTGCACACTGTACCCATTACATATGAAATATACCCATGCCCTCCACCTCCCTCCCACCTGTCCAACACCCAATGAATGATTTTTTGTGAATGGTTAAAATTGGTCTGCTACGGGTAGTATTGATGCCTTTTTTTTTTTTTTTTGAGACCAGGTCTTGCTCTGTTGCCCAGGCTGGGGTGCAGTGGTGCGATCACAGCTCACTGCAGCCTCAAATTCCTGGGCTCAAACAATCCTCCTGCCTTAGCTTCCTGAGTAGCTAGGACTACAGGTACATGCCACCCTGCTGGCCTAATTTTTTTTATCTTTTGTAGAGATGAGGTCCCTCCATATTACCCAGGCTGGCTGCAAACTCCTAGGTGATCCTCCTTCCTCAGCCTCCCAAAGTGCTGGGATTACAAGCCTGAGCCACCACACCTGGCCAATTGATGCCATTTGATTAGACTATGGTAATCTATTTGATACATCATAGTATGAATGAAAATTAATGCTTGATATTAAGGTATCAACTGTTAGATACTATCACTAGATATTCTTGCAAATTCAAGTGATGTCACATTGATATTTAAATGGCTTTTGACATTTAATATTTGACCTAGCACAAAGCACCTGGATTTGGGTGTCAAAGGGAGCATGGGTTTGAATTCGAACTCCACTTTGTATTTGTTTTGTGACTTTCAACATATTATTTGAACTTCAACTCTCTCTCATCAATAAACATATGATTAATACCTGTCTTACCAATCTATGATAAAAGATTTGGCCAAATAATTCAAAATATAACAAGACAGATGTCAAAGTGCACAACTTCATTAATAATCAAGGAGCCAAATTAATATGAGATATATTGCCATTTATGAAACATGAAAACTAATAAAACAGAGTCAGTAGATACTGGGATTATAAATAAAAGATTTTGTCAAAATGTACCAAAGATGTTAAAAATAGTCATATCCTTTAATCTATCTTTTTATTTTATTTCAGAGATAGGGTCTTGCTATGTTGCCCAGGCTGGTCTCAAACTCCTGGGCTCAAGCAATCATCCCACCTCAACCTCCTGGGTAGCTGAGACTACAGACAAGCATGTGGCATGGTGCCTGGCTTCCTTTGACTTATTAATTCCCCTCCAAGGACTCACACCAAGGAAGGAATTAAAATTGCTCACAAAACGGTTCAATAAAATAAAAAACTTGGATGTGATCTAAAATGTTCTGCAGCAGGCTAATTAATGTGTATTCACAATGGAATAATGTAATCACTAAAAATTATATTTATAAATAAATTTTTAATAACATGAAAAAATGTACTATGCCCATTAAATAAAATATATGCAGTAGTATCTCAACTATATTAGAACTACATATGTATATTAGAACTACATATGAAAAGAAAAATACTGAGAGAAAGGTATTAACAGACCAACAGTGCTCAATTTAGGGACTGTGGCTGATTCTTGGTCATTTACACTTTTTTGTATTTTCCAAAAAAGCATGTATGAATTTCGTAATTGCAAAAAATATACACTAAAAATGCTTTTGAAAACTGACTGAAAAGTTTGGCTTTTAAATATTGTATAAGGGATTTAATTTCAACTAATTATCTGAATCTGCTTCGGAAATACTCAGCAGATGTCAGAGCATGGCTATCTGGAGATGCTTACACTGCTATTTTGCAACATAAAACTCCAATTCATTTGAGGGTCAGATGCTTGGCCAGGCTTGTTGTCTCTGGAAAAAAATACTAGCTTTCTGTCTCATAAGCTTTCTGCGAGTCAAGGTGAAGTCCATTTTATGTATTTTTGTGATGAGGGCATATACTTAGGACAATATAAATAAACTTGCAACTAATCAGAATTTGATTAAACTGTATGCTCAATTAATGAAAATAAATGTCAAAACTTTTACTGTACAATATTCTGGGGCTGGGTGCAGTCGCTCACACCTATAATCCTAGCACTTTGGAAGGCTGAAGAGGTTAGGATCGCTTGAGCCCAGATTTTGAGACCAGCCTAGGCAATATAACAATACACCATCTCTACGAAAGAGACGTGGTGGCACATGCCTGTAATCTTAGCTACTTGGGCAGGATAGCTTAAAGCCCAGGAGTTTGAGGTTGCAG